AACCCCACATGTGAATGATTTGCACCTTTAACACATATGCTGTTAAATCTGATTACAGTAGTGCTGTACAATGACTCATTAATTGTTTGTGCGTCAATAAACACACATCCTTTTATCTGCACAGAGCTGCAATTTGTTGTATTATGCTGCCTGTAAAGATGAATAGGAAGGTAGTACGGTGGTGTCAGGGGTTTTTGTTGTTCAGCCATGATCGTGTTTCATCAAATAGCAATGTTTAATCAACATTTTTTAGCCTTTGTCCTTCACAATCAAAGTACAAATGCTTGTTACACTCATAATTTTGCATCAGTATGAAGATGGGAGTGTTCATTCTAGAGGAAGAGAAACCAATTTCTCCACTGAGCCATGATAATCAATAACATAATGCAGCCGCAAGATATTTTGTGTTTTGAGCAAAGGGTTTACATCTCCTATAAAGCCTCCCTCAACACAACTTTTATTTTTGGATGGAAATGAGGCAGAATGTAGGAAATCTTGACCTGAGGTATCACTGAGGCGCGCTGAGGGAAGTGAAAACAGCTCTGACGATATGTTGTGGGGATATGGGAGTTGCTAAAAGTGGACTTTTTTCCTGTAGTCCGTCGCTACATCCCTGAACCTGTAAAGTTTAGTGATGTGGGACTGTCTGTCTGGCAGACTGAGGCACGAACGAGTCCTCCAGCTGTTAGCCACCGATCACACAAGGCTCCAGTGTACACCAGTTCAAATGTTTTTTTGTTGAAGCAGAAAGTGGGCTTTTGTTGGACAAGGTGCCTCTTTTATATTCTGAGCTGCTATTCGCATACATGCGGTCGTCCTTTCGGCTTCATCAACCTCTGCGACTCTCATCTGACCCCTCGCTGCGAGGTGCTTCTGCTTTCAGGTCCGCGGTTGACTGTATGTGTCTTGTATATTGCAGCATTCATTCTCTATTAACCGTAGACCCTGAGTGTGTAATGCACATGACTCCCACGAGGGCAGCTGTCTCTGCAGATGCCGGAGCTGGCACATCCACTGCCAGCAATCACACTGTGTTCAAAGTCGCATCATGGGTCTTGCCCATTCAGGTTTAATCAAACAGTAACAGGATCCCCTGCATGGCTTCTATGAGTCACACCTGCATTATTCACTGTCTGGAGAAGTGCGGTTTTTGTATAAATGAGAGCCATGCTTACAAAAAACATGGCAAATGCAAAATATTTTATCTATCAGTCGATGCTGAAGGATGAGTCGTGAGCCACAGTTGATGTAAATCATTGTCTCTGGTTCCGTGTTGAATAGGAATGGTGCTAATGCTGTTTTCATATCTCATGTCAGCGGTGCCCCAGAGGCTCCACATATGATCTCCATGTGTTATCTCTCTACATCTCTATTGTCTTTTGCATTCATTAAAATGTGCTTCAAAGAGCTTAATGAAAGCAAACAAGGATTTGGTAATGCTCAAAGAATCACGGGTGGACAAAAAAAAAAAACCCACAAAGAGCAAAGCACAGAAGTAGCTGCACTTAGGAGAAAATGCCAAAAGTCAGAGCAGAAGAAAAGAAAAAAAAAAGAAGCTTTATTTATGACAAAGACTTTGAACTGTTAAATAATAGGGCCCATGTTGGGGAAGCTGATCAGTGTCAGCTGAACTTGTCAAGTGCAGGTCTCCTCAGGTGCACTTGAAGATGGCTGAACGGCTAAAGTGGAGAAAAGAGGGAAATGGAACAACTGAGTTGGAATCTGATTTATTCATTGTGTCCTTGAAGAGAGAGAGATAGGGTGAAAGACTGCAGTGCGCTGCAAAGTGAGGGAGCTATTGAACCAGAAAGCCTTTTTTTTCTACAGCAGTAATCAAAGTATCCTCCCCATGACACGTCCTCCTTCAGCCTTTTGAGTTTTCTCTCTCGTTCCTTCTCACGCACACACACTCTTTCTCTTCTCCTCTCACGTACACAACCGTCTTCCCAGTAGTGACAGAGCCCGTGTTAGATCAGATTAACTTTCACAGCCACAGGCCCAAAAAAGGCAACGAACACGAGCAGCCAGCCTCCAGTCGCACAGTTCGACACGTTCGAGAAGTGTGCGACGACGCAGCGGGGGATGATTAGTTGTCCTCTGGTGGAGGGAAATGTGCTCTCGTGCTCCTGTGATTAGATTAACGGCTCCCTTTCCCCGCGTCACTTTCTGAATGAAAGGCCTCATCCTAATTGCTTGTTGCCCCCTTGTATTTCTCCTATTCTCGCATGACAAACACTGCCACCGTCGCCCTCCTTGATAGGTGAGTAAACTAATTCCAGAAAACAGTCTCATGAGCATCATGTACTGCAGTGCGGTGCCATCCTCGCACACCACTCCCCCACGTTGTCTTATTCACATTTGGAAGCAGTCCAGGCATAAGAAAAGAAAAGAAAGAAAAAAAAAAACACAACAAAAGGAGAGGCAGTGGAGCAAAGGAAGAACAAAAAAGCAATATCCTTTCATGCTTTGTCAGAAATGGGTTGTTTGGATCGTAGAGTAGCGTTTCATACAGCCCAAGTCTGTTCCACAGGACTGGTGCAGTGAATAAATCCTGAATCATAGTGTCTGCATCCAAAAATGAAGTAAAAAAAATACAAAAAAAAAAAAAACACTGGTGTTTTGCCATGTTTGTTGGATTTGTTATTTGAGCTGTGGCAGGCTGGATCTCTGGAAGGAGGAATTCATTTTAACCACACAATGCAGACCAGGAGACCAGTAAAATGACACAGACTGGGCAATCTATCGAGCATTGTGCTAGCCCGACTGTATATGTGAGAATTTACACCGTGGGAATAAGCAGGATTTAAATGATTAACTGTCCTTTTGCTGGATTTGCTTGAGAAAATCCCGATGCAAAAAAAAAAAAAAAAAAAGTGGTTTTGAGGCTTCAAACTTGTGACGGAATTAAAGAGAAAAGGACGCGGCATGTGCGCGCGGTATGCTTTGTAAGCAGTTGGTGGTTCTAATAATGCATTATTGATTATGTCACAATAGATCTCATGAAGAGTGAGCGAGCGAGAGAAAGATCACATGGCAGATGAAGCTGTCAATGCGGCCCTCAATCAGAGGATGCAAGGCAGGAGAGCGATAGTGAAGCGGAGGGTGCTCGCTATTGATCCGAAACATGCGCACACACTTCCACTGACTAACGGCTCAATATGGGACTATTATAGGAAAAACTCCTCTCTTTGTGTATCCGTCTACAGGGGGTTGCTCGGGCCACCGATACTCTGTCGGCACCACACTTGAGTTAAAGTATACGTTTAACCTGAGCCGAGATGTGATTTCTTTTTTTACAGGCCACAAAATCCTCCACAGGGCTTCACTCAGGTTCAAACAAGTGTTGTGAAAGGAAATTACCACAGACACAGGACCCTTTCTGTACATTTTATTTACAAAATGTATTAAAATTCTCTGTACAGCGCCTCACTAATGAGGTTCAGCAAATTATGCATGCATCTTTTGCTCTTTTGTACCCACTACTATGCCCGGCGATTTTTGTTTTTAGCAGAAGGTGAGACGTACAAAAAAGAAAAAGTTGATTTTTTTTAAAAAACCCGAAACAAAACAGAATTACCAGGGCTGGATTTCTAACATTAACCTAAGTTCAGTTTGTGAGTAGCAGAGCTCGTCAAGCATCAGTGATTTCACATGCAATTTCTTAGAAAAAAAAAAAGAAAAGAAAAAAGAAAACCAAACGGGAGGAAAAGGAGAAAAACCAATCTTTCATCATGTAACATAAATAATTCTCAGTTATCTAAATGTACACATCTTTCTCGGCTTGCTCGTTCTTTTTCTTCACATTATTGGTTTTATTTATTTTTATTTATTTTTTCTTAAATATAAAACTATCTGCCCATAGTTTCAGGTGATTAGATAAGTATCTTCCTAAATCCTATGGAATCACAGTCTTTTTGAAAGAAAGTAAATTATTACAGCAATATGGAAATGTGCTAAGCTTCAGGTCTCTCCCTGGTATAACCTTGTATAAATCTATTTTCCATTGTATTCATATATTTTTCATTTTCATTTACTAAGTGAAGTCACCAAACACTGTAATGCTCGTTAAAAGAAAATCAAATTAAACGCAAACCACAGCTCATTGTAAAATGTGCAATTGTTAAAGAAAATGGTAAGGTAATCCAAAATACTACAGTTTAAAAGCCATTACTGTTATCCTTTAATTGGATTGCAGTTAATCTACAATTGAATTACCCTTTTTGTTTGGTTTTACCTTGATGTACAGAAGACTTGAATGACTCTAGACTTCAGGGAAAGACTGTTTTCGGAGCGCCAAACCTCGGTGCTCCTTTTGATATTTTACAAACTGTAAATCACACAAACAGGTTTTCTTTACTCAGGCATGAATACTTTTGCTTTACACACTCGTCCTACAAAACACACTCTTGGCAGTATTGGAAGTGCGAATTATGACCTGGTTTCTTTAGTGTGTGAAAGCCAAAACCAGATCATCTTCTCATCTTCAGGAGTCCCATCAAACTTTCAGAAGACAGTGGCAGCAGCACCAGAGTTTAGAGTACAAACAACACACGTCATTGTTTTGGGCTGAATGGCGTTTCACTCCAATAAGGTCAATCTATCTTTTTAAAACAGGTAGAAGGTCACGAGGAGTGACTTACAGCAGTATAAAAGCTATTGTCTAATAACCAGTGTCTTACAGTGCACTGAGTAGATCTAATAAAATAATTTGAACACATATAACCAGTGAAAATCTGGCAGCAGAAGGATGAAGAGAAACCCGATCATATTGATTACAAGAAACCAATTAGACACTTGACATGTAAGATTTGTCGTCATTCTGGCACTTCGAAATGTGCTTAGGGTTGCAAATGATGGCTTTAGTTCTCTCATTCATGTTAAATCTACTATTTATATATATATGTATGTATAGGTATAGATACATATATATATATCCTTTGATCACTGCACCATTCTTCTGTTTTGTATGGATTTTCAAGCAAAAAGCAATATCATTGTGAATGAGTTGCATTGATTGGACTCAGAGTTCCATAAGGCACTGAGAGGAGGGAACCACGTCGGCTCTTCCCATGACCAGTCCAGTCGTGTCGTCATTGCAGATTATCGTGCTGTGTCCGCCCGAGGGGATTTGGCTTGAAGCTCAATCCCCGTGATCCTGTGCCTTTCATAGATGTTTAGTCACAGTTGTAAGGGACAATGGAAATGTTTCCTAAACCTGTGTCAACATACAAGAGCAGAAGCAAAAAAAAAATTGGAAGAATTTTCGATTAGATTTTTTTTTTTCACTTTCGAAAATATACGTCTGTTACTGAACAGAAATCTACTTGAAAATGAATAAAATTAGCAAACGCAGGGATTACTTTTTAATAGCCGGCGAAGGCTTGCTTTAAAAACATTTATAATTCATTCAGCAACATTCATTATTTCTGACTAACTTAGCTACAAAATTTAAAGTCGGTAGAAAAAACGTTGTTACCGTAAATTCCGGACTATGAGTCGCTACTTTTTTTTTCCACACGTTTTGAACACTGCAGCTTGAACAATGATGCTGCTAATTTATGGATTTTTACGAATTTGCCTCAAGACGAAAGTGACATTGAGAGCGACAATGAAAGAGAGACTGAGGAAGTGTGTGACGGAGTAATTCTGACGCTGTTCAATTCCGACGCTGAAGAAGACGACTTTAGTGGTTTTAGTGCAGGAGGAAGATGAAGATAGCGATCAATGACTTTTCATGGTCGGCTAATCTTTCTGTGTAACATCTTTCTTTGTAAGTATCTCATGTTACAACGTGGACACCTGCGGCTTATAGACATGTGCGGCTTATATATGTATCCAACTTGTTTTCTTTCTAAAGTTAGTGGGTGCGGCTTATATTCAGATGCACTGAATAGTCCGGAAATTACGGTATTCATTAACCAATCATCTTCATCACTACTATGTTGCTGTTTAATCCCAGTTGACTGACAGTGTGGGTAACAAAGTCAAACAACTGTCATCAGATTTTGACACGTTGCCTTTTTCCGACTAAGTCCTTCCCACTTCCACAAGCACAGACAAAAAAACACTGTCTACAGAAGTCGGTTATGTAAATAATCAAATGTTGCTGCTTTGGAAGAAAACTTTGCGCCTGTGGATTCAATCACTGAAATTAAGAACCGTATTGAGAAAATATGTTCTCAAAGCATTTGAAATCTGTTGACATGTCGACACTTGGTGTTTATGGAGAACACACATGCAATTAATCCACACTAATACAAAGCTAACATTTAATTGTGTACTTTTCAGTGCGTGCTTCATTTCTTTGAGTGAAATTCTGCCGAAGTGCGACTTTCCACTCGCCTCTAGTGGTCTGTTTTCATGAGCTTTCCCTGCAAGTGTTCATTTAATTTCTTCTGTAGAAACTTAAGCAAAAAAATATTCCCTATGAAGATGGTTCACAGTTTGTTCTGTGGATTATTAAGGATGATTTAGTCTGTTGTTGGTAAAAAATAGGATGTGGGGAAAGTTTAGCCCACAGAGAATTGTCACACAACAGCAGATTCCTTTTGGTCTACAGAGCATTTTAACATCTTTTAGCTTATTTAATTTGGTTTTCCTACCAAAGCATGCAGCTATTTTGAGGAAAAAACTGCAAAAGTGTGTCTCTCAGAAGTTGATGAACAAAAAAACTGAGACGAAGTACAAATTTCTGACGTATTAAGCCATAAAAGAACCCCCAAATCCTTCAAATAAATAATTATGTTTAATGCTCATGTCTTGCTGCCCTGGTATGTGGATAAAATAATACACAAATCAATGCTATCATTATGCTGTGAGCAGCTAAAATTAAATTCCCTACAATTGTACCATATTGAAATGGAAGGAAGTGGATATCGCGAAACTTGGGCAAGTGGAAACTAGAGGTACGTGGGAAAATGTGTTTTTATAATCTGGTAAAATGAAGCCTTAAAATGTCAAATTGCAAGCCCAGATTTATACATTATAAAGTGATGTATTGTTACGCAGCACAAACATATGACAGGTGCTGTGTATCCTGTGTTTGCTGCACTAAACAAAGAAGAAAACGCGCTTGTAACTGACAAAGATCATGTAGCCCGCGGCACTATCCATGCAGCTATATGTTACAGGGCATAAAGAACGTCTCGGAGTTTTGTATTCGAGTGGGCACGTGTGTTCTCTGGCGTCCGACACGACAACCATAAACACTTTCACAGCAGGGGCAGCACCACAGCAAACACACAACTGAATAATTTACTCTCTGTGAAATGACAAGAAGCTAAAAGATTCATCTCTGGCGGCGCTTGGAGACCCCGCAACGGGCGACGTACCTTTAGATCTTAACGCTCTCGGTTCCGTATACGTTGTAGCCTTCTCTGTATGTGGCAAAGTTCTGGGTGTTGGTTGGGGGAGCCGGCTTAAAATTCTGGGCATTCTTGGCCAATTTCAGCCGTTTGGTTTCTTGTCGTGATTTATAACAGAACTCTATCAGGGCCACCATCATGGCCAGCCCCAGCCCTCCAACCAGAATATAGAAGACACCAGCCACATTGCTTAGGCTGAGAGCACTTGTCTTGTCCTGGGGGAAAGTGAATAACATAGTTAAGAGTTTTGCAGTGGAGCAAGGGCAGCAGCAGCAGCAGCATCATCACAAAATGCAGCCTGTATCCTTCAAACTGAGCCTTCTACAGCCTTGTCTCAACAGTAAAGCTGATTTAGTAGTAAATTATCCTACTCTGTCTCACTGATGCTACCAGTAGAAGATTATGGATACTAACAGCTACAAGCAACAAAAATTAAACATGTAATGAGGTGCTAAGGCTATAATTTAAACTAATTTTCCTTGTAAGTGTCACAAATTTATAAGGAACTTCATAGTCAAACCACTCTCCACTGAGGAGAAAGAAGCCGACTCCTAATGCTTTCTCTGCTGGTGAATGTAGAGCTTTTCCTGTCCTGTGCTACATGTAGGTAAAAAAAATGGCTTCTGCTCTTGACCATGTAAGGAAGCTGGTCAGTATCGCATAGGTCGACAGCTCTGAAAATCCCTGTCTTTTCAATCCTCTTAGCGACATGTACGTATAACTCTCATGGCAACACTGTCATACAGTACAGTCAAATTCATAGTAGATGAATGATAGCTCAATTAAAGTTAAAAAAAAAAATAACACTAAATATCAAACCATTTTGCTGCTGCTTACCTACCAAACATATTCATTAAAAATTTGTTCATTAGAGTTTTACTATTTGCAGTTTAACCCTATGAGCATGGAGGTACCATGGAGCTATCTAGCAACCCTAACCTATAATCTGAGGCTTTGACTGTATCTCAGAGGGTTAAATAGTGGGTTTATTACATTCCTCAACTTCTTGTACTGCGCAAACAAAGCCTCTAACCTCGTCTCAAAGCAGCCACAAGACTGAAGGACACCCTACGGCGCTCTCGCCGCTTAGAGAAGCTGAATTTGCGTAAATCATCACAATGAGAGGCTTTGCTTGTTCATCACACCACAGGAGGCCAAAGAATCTAATAGACACATCTCGATGCAAACTAGTAACAACACAAATAAATCAAATTTTCATTAACAGTTTGGTAAATAGAAACAGCAGCATAATGGTCAAAGTATCATGAATGTCAAGAATGAAAATGAGCAAAAATAGCATTGATCAACAACTGTTAACTGCTGTGATTCAGTTAAAATAGTATATCTGAAAGGCACTTTAATAATTTCCCCACAGTATTACCATTACAGTTTTCACAAAAAAAGAGACAGAGAGTTTCTACATTTTATATTGCATCAAAAAATGTCTCATTTCTATGGTATAAAAGAAAAAAAAAAGTGAATTTGGGGAATCAGTGCCTTGGGTTAAAGCCACATTTAAGCTGTGTTACAGCTTGTGGCAGGAAAAACTGAAAAAAAGAAAAATTATGTGTAGCAAATTAACAAAATGCATACTATAGATGTTAGAGAAGTCTTGTCTTGCATATGAACAGTACGTCAAAATGCAATTTGGAATCAGTACAAAAGACCTGCAGCGACTGACCTTACTTCCAGAGTCCTTGGTTCCACATTCACCCTTATCGTACCACCATTTGTTTTTCAGCTTGTCTAAGATGCCTTGTTCACTGAGTTTCAATACTGCAAGGTTTACAGGAGTTCTTCACGTGGGAAATAACATAAATAACATTATATTATGTTATTTTATGTTATTCAACTTTTAAACTACTACATACTTTACAAAGCGATAAAGCAGGGCACCTGGCTATGTCAACATCACAAAGAGCAGGCATTCTACCTATTACCTTTATAACCCCTAGTCTAAAGCCAGGACCTACCCGTATCGCTTTGAGTAATCGGCAGACGCTGTTAACAGGGCGACAAGCAGGTACTGGAAGTACGATCTGCAAGTCTATGAAAGTCAAAAAGCACTAAGGTACATTGGTTTGGGGGGGGGCAGGCATTCACAGAGGGTTTCTGCACAGCATTTAACAAGTTCATTCCAACAGGAGCTTTGTCTTAACAAACAGAAAACTCTTCCTCTTCCTGTACAATGTCAGTTTAATCCCGTGATGGCTGAAACTACTGTCACTGCAATGACAACAGTCAATTCTGGAGGTATTACAGCCAATTTCACATTCAAGAAACTATGCCCAAAAGTGAAAGTGTAATTAATTCTTACGTGTTCCATCCCGACATATCGCTAAGAAAAACCTTATCTTCCAATTACGCCAGATTAGTGTCTGATGATTGTGTCCCAACCAAACTGCACAGAGCTGCAGGACTAAGCTCAAAAGTATCAGTGGAATAATTCATCTCACATTTGCCTGTAGCTGCATAATCTAATATTTGACACAGCTCTCTCTTGCTGTTTGATATCTCTAGAAGTTATATCATGACGTATAATATTGTATGTCAACATGAATTAGCATAATTTTCTATTGCACTAAATTACTTGAGGCAAAAAACAATTGCCAAGCTCGACGAAGATCACATTTGGTAGTCGTAATATAACAGTGGATCATTTGTGGTTTAGGTCAATCTCTCTATCAAAGTGAAAAGCAAATTGGAAGCAAAGAAAAATAGTGCATCAATAAATGAGTGACCTGACTACTCCCTGGGAACAATGTCCCCCAAGGGGATCCATGCAATGCATAATGCACTGAGAGAAGATTACACCACTGTATATTCCTCGTAGCCAATCTGGAGAAGCGGACTGCGAAGACCAGACCATTGTCTTGGCTTGGAGAGACATTGATTAACAATGCAATTACCCTGTAACATGCTCTGTGTCTGAAACTCAATCTAGGCTGCGCTGTGTTGTGCCCGAGGGCGAGAAAGAGCGGTGTGAACTGTGTGCGAGTGGGTGTGCATGCAGCTGCGCGCATGATTATGCGCATCTCCTGATGTCATTGGAACATGGAGTTGTGAGCAGGACTGGGCCAAGCGATTCACTGTTTGGAACACTGCGCTCCAGGCCGCTTTATCCCACCTAATCGGGCCTTTCCGCTGAGTCCTGGAGAGCCGAAACAAGCCAGGAAACAGACAGACAGTACATACCTGTGCATGATAATAGATCGATGGCAGCACAGGAGACAGGAGCTGCTTTCAAATGCTCTGAGTAGCACAGGAGGCTCTGTGACTACAGAACATAGCAATGTTAACAACACATTGAAAATGTGGCTTTGAAACACCTAAAAAAATCTCTTCAGCCACAATACCCCAGCATTTATCAAGACATTATTTGATACGTGCCACATGCAGCCTCTTGTGGGGATGTTTAACTGTTCATTGTGGTCCAAACTGGGAGAGTAATGACACAATCTGCAGTCGGTGGGACCTTGCAGATTGTCTGAAATGTAACCAATTACCTGACATACATCATCACATGTGGGTTGACAGCATCATTTGTCATTAAATTGACCTGCATTGTAAAGAATGTATTGCTACTGCCTCATGTGTAATTTTGTGAAAATAGCACAAAGCTTAATGGCACATAATCTAAGTAGCATTACACCAAGGTGTCATGGTTGAGCGAGGCTTCACACTTTGCACCATTAGCTGCCGTAATGGAAAAATCATTCATCATTTAAGCACAGAAAAGGATGGAAAGATCTGACGGTCAGAAGGGTCACAGCTGGGTTAGTAATTGTTGAACTGAGGAAGGAACTGCATGTCGTGAAATCACACCACAGGTGGTTTATCAGATCACACATTCAAAAAGAAAACAAAGTCTTTTGTTTAATTAGAATTCTCACGTTTGCCTGCAATGCTTAGTCCCCTCAAGACGCCGCTGTTCCCCTTGCTTCCCTGTCGGCCTCGGCTGAGCAGCCATTCTGAGGTTTTTTTTTTTTTTTGCCATTAAGTAGAATTGGCTTTTAAGCTCATAGGTTCTGGGCCAGTGTCATGGATGTCAGGCAGCTGTGCGGTGAAGTACTGCAAAGCCATATTTTACCGGATTAGCAAACCTCACCTTCATAATAGAAGTCTGGAGGTTTTGGCCTTTTCACTGCAATGTCACCGGCAAACTCTCTTTTTGAATTACACCTGTGAGATTCCATCAGCTACCTTGATAAAACCTTAATATCTGTGGCGAGGTGATCTGCCCTGCACATGTGTAAGTGTCTGTAAACAGCTCAACCTCTCACAACTGTAGGGCAGACAAATTTACCTGGTATGTTTCAGACATTGTCAGACAGAAAGCAAACTCCTACCCTCACTCTCATTTGTACTGTTTCTATGTACATTACAGTTAATTTCTACAGATACAGTCTTTCCTGTTGGCTAAGCAAGAGCTCCGTAGTTAGATCTGAGCTGTTAAACCCTCTGGTCAAACGTCCAATTAATTTGGTAATCTGCCTCGGGGCAGCAGCAGGTTAGTTGGGGCGGACAGTTGGTTTGGTTATGGTTGGGTTGTCGTAACAGCCTTGCCGATTACTCTGCACTATGGTACCCGATTGTGGTGACATCGAGGCTGACCTTGGAGTCACCTCCCCCGCTGCCGCACTCTCCCTTGTCGTACCACCATTTGTTTTTCAATTTGTCCAAGAGGCCTTGCTCATTCAGTTTTAAAACTGCCAGGTTAACAGCATTTCTTGAAACGATAAAACATAACTTGTAAGAAAATGCACAGGTCCGTGAGAAATCTAATGCAAAGTAATACTTGTATAGGCATCATAATAATAGGTGATGGTAGTGAGACTACCACGGTCAAAGCAGGGGCTTATGCACAGAATGCTATCTGTTAATCAGAATGGTCTAGGAAAAGGACAAATTGTTTAATAATTTAAGGAATACGGAGAGATAAGAAAAGGCTCATATAAGGTAGAGACAGTGTTAAATCTTGGAAAAGGTGGCATGAAGGGTTACGTAGTTTAGAACTGAAGTGTGCGGGATGGGGACACTTGTCATTGAGAAGAAAAGTAACAACAACAAACATCATGCAATTAACATTCGTCACAAGTGACAGCGCAGCTTTTAAAGGCTAAATTGAAAAACCATTGAACTGTTAAATTAAAAGTGACAACACAACAGTCAGGTAGGACAGCACACGGGACAGAAGGAGAGATCGAAGGAGAGAGAAAAGCAACAGTAAGAGAGACACAAATATGAAATGATTGTTAGCTTTAAACCGTATTATCTGGATTCGATTTCTCAACTATAAAATAGCAATTTCTTAACACATTTACGAAAATACTGGAAAAATATTATCATTAATTAACCTTTGTATCCAAGTGCATTGAAAAGCATACTACCGTTTACCTCTGTGTCCATTCAAAAGTAAAAAAAAAATAAAAAAAGAAGAGGAAGAGAAGAGAATGATAACAGGGGACATCAGGGTAGGTGGAATACTATAACAACATGGGGGATATTGTTATATTATTCCACCCACCTTAATGCTGAGCCTTTGGGCGTCGCCACACCGTATCCTTTCGAGTCGAGGTTGCCTCCCACTTTCATGGTGTCGCACGGCTTCCGCTGCTCGATGTACTCGTTCATGGTGGACTCGAGGAGAAAGGCGAACTTGCCCTTTGACTTTCGTACCCGGGCTACGCCATCGGGCGTGGTCTTAACAAACACTGAGGGTTCAGCAGATTTCATGTATGACCACATCTTCTCATACACTGCTATTTTGGATCGCTGTGCAGAGAAGAAAAGGAGAAGAGAATCAGTTTAAGAAGGCGTCCGAAAATCGTGAAAGGCGCGATGGATTTTGTTGAATTTTTGTGCTTAATGGTCGCATGATTTAAACTGGCATGGTGAAGTATTCATAGACATCCTGGTTAAGTGGCTGTGTGATATCTTTAAATACTTCCAGGAAAAAATATAGCTGACGGACTTTTACGAGATCATGAAGTACAAGAATTTACAAAATCCATTTCTCTTCATCAACATAAACGTACTTCCTCAGAAATGTTGCTTCTCAAATTCACTGAACGTTAATGAGGGTTGCACATCACCCAAAGTAAGTAATGTCTTGCAAACTAGGTAGAAAAGCTGGCGTTTGTGGATCGGATATGCAAAAATATCTCCAATAATTCAACTTTGCTGACAGTGAATTGCAGGTAATGATCATTTTATTTGAACAACTTGCCGAGGTGTTGGATCGGTTGGTTTAAAATTCAGCCCGAGCGAAGTGAGCCTTGGTTTATAGCTCTAATCTAACTTGTATTACAGTCGTTCGCTTCAACAACACTGTTAATGAAACATCTCAACTGTGACTCGGAGGCGATGCGCAGAAGAAGCAGGAGAAGTGAACAACAAGGCAACCCATCACAAAGTGACAAAGATGAGCCTCTTCTCAGCGCCTGGGGTCGGGCTTAGCGAGCATGTAAAATTAGGGGAAGTTGGGCGCTATCTATAATAAGCATCAATTAAATTATTCAATGCCCCTGGATTTATTTTGGCATAGGCATTTCACACATCCTGGTGTGATCCCAGTCCAAGCAGTGATGAGCCATAGTTCCCAAGTGACGCCGTGTGTACAAAAGACTGGATCCCACTTAAAAAAAAAAAAAAAAGCTCCCTTTTTAGTAACGTCCAGAAAAAAAGCCAACGGGTTTGGCTCAATTAAAATATCTGCTGTCAACCAGAGGGTTTATGGGTATAACTGATGATACAGCAACATCTGATGCTTTCCTGTGGTGTTTTTTGGCTCATAAGGCACCAAGTCATTAGTTTAGCAAAAGTCAATTAATTATAATGATGAGTCAATTAATTCAACAAGACCAAGAGTCTACCGGCACAGTGGTTTCTATAGCTAACAGACCTAAGATTTAGCAGGTAAAATGAGGCATTTTCACAAGATAGAAACCAAAACAGATCCAAGCATCGGACATTATCTAGAGTAGTTTAATATACCAAACACTTGCTGCTTCCACTTTCTCAGCTGTTTTCTCAGAGATTTTCCTCTTGGGGTTTTGGGCTGTTAGACAAAAATGCAATGATAAAGTTTCACCATATCCCAATATTTTAGAGACTAAACATGCCTAATTAAGTGCAAATAATTGCTAGTTGTACTGCTTGTTAAAGGGTCACGCAGTTAATTAGAGACGCTACATGAAAATTCAAAGATCATCTGTTGTTAAGCTCTTTATTTAAACTTGAATAGAATCACATACTGAGCTTTGTGTGTCCAAACATGAGGATCTGTGCACAGGCGCACACCACTGCCTTGAATTGGTAAAAAGCCCCCTTAACAAAAAGCATATCCATCTCTAATGCATTTCTGTTAATAAACAAAAGCATTAACCTTGACCTAACCAAAGTGCTTTTCGGGCTTTATGTAATCATATACAATTTGTTTGCAGGCATCCGTCACAGCGCATCAGGCGAAGGGTGAGGATGAGATGAGACAGCAGCATAACACAAATGGAAAAGTCTGCATGATGAATGTTCCACGCTCAGATGAAAAAAGACTCCAAGTTGGGATGATAGCCATTCTATTTTTATGCAAATACAATTGATGGGGATGGGGGGGGGCAATAGTCAGACTTAGATGGGATATTTGTGTTGACAGTTATGTTCAATGTGTTCAGTTTGCATGTGACAGACATCATGAAAAGGACACTAGTTTTGGAGGACATTTCCCCAAAGACACAGGGCTCATCTGCTCGGCAGTGGGAAAAGAAGCTCCAGACGGCTCCTCAGATGAAGGGAAAAGAATAGATCTGGGCATTGATTACTGACGACAGAGTGTGCTGCCTCGGTGCTTTATGAAGTCAATTCGTCAATATCAGAGCAGGGTGGAAGTGCGACCAAAACCTAAATAGGCCGATTCCACCGCAACTAAAGTCACCAGCGAGGTGTTTGCAGCAGACAGACAGAGAGAAAGAAAACAAGAAACCGTGAGGAAACCCAGCAGGGAAAGAGAGATATTTGATTATTGACTGCTGGTGCTCACACACACACACACACACACACACACACACACACACACACACACACACACACACACACACACACACAGTATAACCATATGAACACATCACTAGTCTACTGTCGTCTCCTTTAAAATGTAATCATTCACATTCTCATCTATGGCGGTCATTTAAAATTCAATTAAGGAATAATGACTGCAAAAGTCCATCATGAATGAACAGACAATTTGTTGAGCAATTTAATGCTGCCATAAATACAGCTTTCTACATGTGGCGCTCCTTCACACCATGTAATGGCCGTGTGAAACCATACCGCTGGATTCTAAATGAGCTGCCTGCCAATTAACAGGGAGTGGCTGCATTTGATATCTATTGTGTAAAAGTAAAAAGAAACACGGCTCTATGTTGGGTAACTCACAAATGGAATCACCCTCCTCCTCTAAACGGCTTTAAAATTATACTAAAGCAATCACAATGCTGCTCTCTTCATAATGGAGCACCTAAATAGTCGATCTCAGCCAGCCCTCCTACCTAAGAGACGCTGGTTACATCATCTGTGTAGGTGTTCCTCTTGCAAGTCTGTCTGAAGCGGCGAGCTTTCTGCCGTCTTGTAATAGTCATAAAGACAAACTCGGGTCTGTTATTCAAACCTGTCGACTTCAGTCGAGAAATAAAAAGGAACAGGACTTGCCTCAAGCGACACAAGGTTAGAGGGATGCCGGAGGAAGACTGGTGAAACTGGTGATCCTTTTAGCCCTGTTTCAGTCTCCAGTAACCCCCACAGGGAATTATCTGGCTGGTAACTGTTTTAGAACTGTGTCTGAGGGCAGATGTTATTTTTCCCAGCAGAACTAAAGCGCTAATACTTAAAACTTTAAGTGCTAATAAATGACTCATAAGGTAATAAATACTCCGTGTTGCACTATAAGGGCTTAATTAATACACTGTCCACAAATGATAAACTGTGGCCGGCGTCATTTATGCTCGAACGGACGTATTGTTGTTGTTGTTGTTGTTGTTGCCTTGGGGGAAATTTTTCATGTTTTAGACATCACCTATTTGTATTGGTTGGATGCAAAGCTTTATGTTCTGTTGTTCAAATGAAACTGTGTTTTGATTCACAGGGCAATTGCTCCATTAACAATGTGGAGTAGATTCAGATCGATCTTGTTCATTATTTATTTATATTTTTAATTCCAGCCTTATATATTGGGACTTAAACCTCTTCCCCTGGAGGCGCTGCTTATAGAGACCTGAAGTGAAACCAGGATTTTTGGGTTGTATTTCAAAAGCAAAAAAATAAAGAAAAATTAAATTTTTGCTCAGATTTGTTACTAAACTAACAACAACAACAACAACAACAACAACAAAATCCTCGGTACAGAGGATTTCTAAACAGTATGCCCTGTACCTTGATAACAACAGCATTTTCTGTTTTTTTTGGAGAAATGGTGTAATAATGCTGTTTATTAATAATGTATGTGTTTTCTATCTTATAAGCCATTCTTGGAATAAACATCACAGTGAGAGAGAAGAGAAAAACCCACCAGCAAGTTGAAGGCACTGTGGTTAGCTTAAAACCTGTCAGTAAATCACAGCAGGATAGACGGGAGTGACGGCTGTAGAATTAAAAGGAAATGATTTTTAGAAGCGTGTTATGAATTTGCCTGCCTCGCTTTGCTCACATAAGCTGTGTCATTGAAGTTAAAATAGACTAATTGTGTTAAAATAACAAAAGTTTAATTGAATATAGCAACTGCTGCAGTGGATGATGACTTATTTTCTTAGAGCGTGGACAGAAAGCCCCGGGAAGACTTGTATTTTTTTTTTTTTTTTTCCACAATCCTTAAATGAGATTGCACTGAGTTGCAGAAGCTGGTGGAACAAAGCCTAATTTGGATTTACATCAGTCTTGTATTTATGTTGTTATCTGCAGTGGATTTACAAGAAGTCCCATAAAAGTTTTGATAAAAACTTTAAAAGGAAACCCATTAGCGTTCATCAGCCACTGGCATCTGTTTGTCTCCCAACTGCCTTGGAAGATACAAGTATTACCCTCTTACACTAAAACCGAGTACCCTGTAGGTTTATCTTTGCGGTCTAGAGATAAAATGCTTGTTGGCCTGAAAGAAGTCTCTAAAGTCCAACTGTGACGCAGGAGAGAAAAGAAAAAAAGACGAGAGGAGTTTGTGTGTTTTGTAAGATCACGGGCGAATCTGTCATTTAGAGATTTTCTTGTTCCAGAATCTCCGACAATGTCATTAAAACGTCTGAGAAGAGACAAGTGATTAAAGCCCAAAGTCAAAGAAATTGACCTCTCTATTCTAAATAACCGCTTAATCTGTATTGATCCCGAGCCACGTGGCGTCTCCAGACCTCTGTCCGCTGCCCTCCGAACTGCAGCCTGTTTTTTATTCTTTCTTTGGCGTCTCGGGCTGCTTTCATTACAGCCTCTCCCACATACGCTCCACTGCCCGTGTATCGAAAGGCCATCTCCAAACACCCGCCACTACATTTCATTCGACTTTACTTCCCTTCCATTTTGTTTGTAGGCATCGCCACTTTCCCCCAATATCCTGTATGCCCGGGACTACCTGTATCTCAAGTATGCAGAGATGAAAGTTGAGGCTCTGGGGGTGTACTTTGTCATTGAAGTGCCACATGCTACACCCTGAATACCAATTGCTCATCTTTGATGCTCCTTGCTGGACTCCAATAGCTCGTCTCTCGCGCCTGCTGTTGTTGCTCATCTAAAGTTCGACGAAGCCCTCTGAGGACAGTGCTTCTCCTCAGAGGTTGTGCCCATCTTGCATTAGTCACTTTTGTCAGCTTTCTCTTTTATGCAAACTGGCTCTAATCTTTATAGGAGCCTCCCCTTTACTCTGCGCTGCACTGAAACACAAAGTGACAAGAGCTCGGGGAGTTGTGTTACAATGTGCTGCATATGATTGCGGGGCAACCTCAGGATTTCTTGTATAAATCTCCTCGCTGGCTCTTCTTCATGCAACCCTGCCCTAATGCAGGTCTGCTCTGCATAAAAAGCCACTTATTAAACATTGTGTTGGACCATGCCGAAGCTATAGTGTCTGTGCCACAATAGCTGAGACGTGAAATTGATTTTCATGCTCAGTAAAATGCATTGGTGACTGCACTCAAGCTGTTGTTGCCTTCTCCACCACACCTGCAGATCAGTAAGATGCATGATGTTTGCCGTTGAGAGCTCTGGGTGATGTATAATCTTTTGAGGAGAACAGAAAACAATGCTGTGGTCTCATTTCTCTACGCAATTATCATTCTTTCATTGTTACGCTGTTAAATGAGGTGCATGAAGGGACAGCCGTGCGGTTGTCTTTGATGGTCTCACCCCGGTCTTTACACGTAATTAAACAGCCACATCAGCTCATTTTATCATCCCAGGCATTATCACGATCCAGCTTCTCCTTCGACGTACATTTTCGAAACGTAACCGAGCCAAGTCTTTTGATGGAATGAAACCTCATCAAGAGGATAAACATGGTCTCACTGGTACAACTCATCATTTTCTAATCATCCAAAACACAAATATTCAACTGACTTGCATGAAAAGATCCATGACAGGAATTAAAATGATGAAACAAACCGCAGCGGCGCAGCGGTGCATGACAGCTGCTATGTTGGGGAAGAGCAACACAAAGCTCGAAGTTATCCCGCATTGTCTCAAGGTAAAGCAACAGACAGGCTGGAGACAGGGGAGGAGGAGAGGGTGCCCAAACAAGCAGGGGGAGTCTGGGGGACGAGGAGCCAAGATCGGGGAGCGAGGCGCTGCCAAACGCCTAGAGCCGTGCAGGCTTCCGCTGGGCACGTCAGCGGGCTCCCAGGCCAGCTGTCCTAGTTGGTTGTCAGCAGCAGAATCAGAGCTTTCTTGGGGGATCTACCCTAACACCACTCTCTTTGAAAATTCCTCCACAGATTCTCCACAGTCCCATCGCCAAATGAAGATACACACAGTGATGGGAATATTTTCCCTGTCAGGTAAAAAAAAAAAAAAAAAAGCCGTATGTCTGAATTTATCAGGAGCTCGGAGAAACTGCGCCACAGGAAAACAAGCTAAAAGTGGCTTTTTGGAAGCTCAGGATTAGCGGCAATATTCGTGTTTTTTTGCTATCGAAAGGAAAAAAGTTTTTTCCCACAAGTTTGTTCAGCGAGATCTGGGAAATAAACCAGGTGAAATCATGAAAAATTAAAGGCCAGCAGTGTCAGAGATGGTGACATATGTCTTGTTTGAAACATTGGACTTGATTTAAAATTTCCAGCTGGCTGATGCCGTATGGGTCTAATTAAGCCTGAATGTATTTCCTGAAAACAGATCTGAAATAGAACTTGAACTCCTATTAATCAGTGTGTTTTTTTCCTTGTCAGCCCTCTACAGCTTTAATTAAAAGTCCCCTGGAATAGCAGTTCACACATGTCATTTCCTATTTGAAGACTTAGGGATGTAACTAGGACACTCATTATACAGAAAACAGGAAAACCGACCGCTTCCCGGATTGTTCTACCAGCAGACCTTTGGCGGCCCCATTGTCAGGCTGGAATCCTAATCTGTAATTGGCATCCATCATGTCTGTGACACAAAGACGTCACGCCGTATGTACACCTGTGCGGCATCTCAGATGAAAGGGAGAGCGGTGACAGACTTTGCGAGGTGTTGGAGAATAAAGCGCCGCTGTGGAGGACATCATGTGCTGCGTTTCCAAGAATATACGGCGCTATCTTCACAGCATACAGACTTTTATAAGCAGCCGCTGAGAGTTTACAGACTTTAAACAAAAGGACTTTAAAATATCAAGCTCTGCAGACGCTATCTTGTCCCTCTTTGTCTGAGAAAACATGGATTTGATTCTGCATTTTGTTGTTGTGAGCAATTCAACCCAGGGGTAATACAAATGAAGTGCTCTTTCTGCCAACAGGCTGCAGCTGTGAAACATATGAATTGTTTCTCTCCTGCTGATGAGTAATGAGGGAGCGTAAGATAAAAGACTGTCATATTGCCTTTTCGTCATCACAGGCAGAGTGCTGTTTCATTAATTCTTTTTCAGCGTCGGACTGCCAATGTAGCCGCGCGACGAGCTCAGACATCTATGGATTTCACAGCAGAAGGTTGATCGCCTTAAAGATATGCAGCGCTGCCTGATGCCTGCGCACTGAGCATGTGTTTGCCTTTCGGAGACTAATACACTTTCGCTTCAGATTTTACTTAATTTATGACTTAATTGCCGGGTGAGTCCCTCGTGCCGACGGACATATTGCTTATTCCATCTAAAACGTCTTTCAGACTGCTCTGTTTGACCTACAGGGCTCTTCTTCATCAGGTCCAATTTGCCAGCCACGGCCAGCTAGCTAATTATACTTCATGAACTGACCCTTCTGAGTTTGAGTCTGATGTGGGTGCTTTGATTAGCCTCCTGTTTTTATCACCTCTGAGTCTTCCATGTTGTTATCACGCTTTCTGCTGACAGCCCCAGTGCCTCAAGGTTGCACACTGCAGTACCGCTGCATAAATTTCACGTTCATGTCATCAGAGTTCAAGAACTGCTTCTCTGTCAACATGCCTCATTTAGAGCAATCTTGTGCAGGTCAAGAGGACAAAATTGGAAAGCTGCAAGGAGGAGTCGATCACGGACATTACAACAAGGAGCTTTTATGATTCAATACACCTGAGTGTGAAAATGTAGGCCCTTGTAATAATTGTGATTCGAGCTGAAAGAAAAAGATGAGAGCCGTGAAACTGTTTCCTGACTCTACTCACCCTAAAAAACTCTTTTGTGGAGCCTGAGTCCAGAGTGCCGTATGCTATCTCTGTCTGCTTGGCCAGATCTTCAGCACTTTCTATTGGAGAGACCATTCTTTCCACAGTCAGGAAGGCAGCCAGGTTGGCTGTGTAGGACGAGATGATGATGAGGGTGAAGAACCACCACACACCACCGACGATTCGGCCTGACAAAGACCTGAGAGAGGGAGAGGTTGATGACAGGGAAACACACAATGTAATTACACAGTGACATGTGGCGGCGATCAACCGGCTAACGTCTACCAGTTGTGTTTAATGTATGTAATTGCATCGGTCATCAGAATTTTCCTTGTAAACTGTGTTGTGTAAATCTGCGTGTAGCGCCAAAGCAGCGCGTTTCCAAAGGAAAGCGGTACAAGTTGTTTAAAACGTGCTCTAGTGCAAGTCTTTAATTGAGTGTGAAACAATCAGGGTCAAAGTTTATTTCGTAGCCGGAAGAAAGCAATCTTGAAGTCAATTTGGTGATGATAATTTAAGTGTGTCAATTACACATATAATAGCTGCAGTGAATGCAAAATGAGCTTGACTTGGAATAATGAACACCAAAAGGAAACAAAAAATAAAGATGCTTGATTTACTCTGTGTGCTTAGTTAAAAAAACGCATCTCGTCTCTTGTAGTTAAAATTTCATGTTGCGGTCTATTTGTTTCTGTTTTGCTGCTCTGCTGTCCACTCCTGGTGTCTACTGGAGCTGACCCACCTGGGGGAGATGTCACAGCCCTGCTGCATGAAGGCGCCCAGAGAGAACCAGAGGGAATTGAAGATGCCAAAGTCATTGGGAGGATCAGGGGGAGTCTGAGGGTCTTTGGTCTCATCCTGTTCCTCGAGGTTCCACTCATAAGGACTGAACCGACTGACCAGGAACAGTACCACGCTCACCCCAATATAGGCAAACACTATACACATCCAGATTTCATAGGCCAGCGGGTCCAGGAAGGAGAAAACACCGGGCTTGGACTTTTGCGGCTTCTTTATCATAATGGAGATGCCCAAGCTCATAAACGGCTTGGAAAAGTCTATCACCTCCTCTCGAACCAGAGTAATGGTGAGAGGTGCAACGGCTATATCTGCTCTCTGGAAACAGGGACATGCACAGCAAGCATTAGTCATGACCTGCATAAAGAAACAGGTCACTTCAAGTATATGTGTGAATGACTGGAGCTGTTTTCATCACACATTTATACAGAACATTTTCAGAAATAAGCCACCGACTGCCACATTTGAAGACATGCTGAAAAAAAAAGAACACACTCACGCAGGAAAAACAGAGTCGCATTTGCAGAAGTTAGTCATGACCTGAGCTTAGAACAATTAAATCAATCAGAATTATACACTGAAAAGGAGAAAAAAAGCTCACAAGGGCAGCCCAGCTAGAATATTTTTTCCATTCTATAAACATTTTGAGAAAGTTCTAGTAATGTTTTTAGCAGGAACTTTCTTTTTTAGTTCCCAGTTTTTCGTAAAGGCCAGATAAAGTTCTCTTACAATGCTCTAGAATGGTTCTTAAGAACGTTCTCAATAGCAACATCCACAGAATACTGCAGGCAAAATGTTCTGCCTTCGTTAATGTTTGAAATTACAGCAAAGTTTCAAAAACACATTTTGTCTTCTGAGGCCTCAAAAACATTTTTTGAATGTTAGTATTAGAACGTTCTTCTTTCGTCATCGTGTAACATAATCTGACGACATCCTCTTAGCGTCAAAACAATCTGCCCTAGTTCACTTTTAACCTCGTCGGAGCATCATTTCAAACGATAAATATCCTTCTTGGAACAACAGATTCAAACATTATTAGAACTTATGGATGATGTTAGCCGACGTTGTGGGAACGTTCCCTGCCTGCTGGGAGTGCAACACATTCAGAGAGGCAGCTTGGAAACAATCCACTGAGACAGAAGGGTGTTTGAGTCATGTTTGACCAAATGAGGCACTGAGGGAAATCACAAAAAAAAAAAGTTTTCAATTCTTTGGAACAAGCAATTTCATAAAAAGTTTTGCAGCGAAACGCTGGAATGAATTGTTTGCGTTAAAATACAAGGGAAGCGTTCAGCACGTGTGTGTGTCTAATTAAAAGTGTTGAGCTTTAATTTGCAGAATGTAAAGAGGGTCGCTGTGTACACTTCTTCACATGCCACTCAGTGCGCTGGGTTTCCCAAACACAGCTTATTCTGGCATTAGCTCTTTTTTTTTTCCAAGCTGTTTCTCTTTATCTCCCTCCTTTGCTCTGCTGCTTCAATCACATTATGTTATCAAAACACAGCCATGGAGGTGGTGCTGCCTTTTTAGAAATCACAATGGGTTTCTCTAAAAGCAGAAGAAAATAATTAATCATGTTAGACAGTGTTACTGCAGCCTGCGTGTGCGTGCGTGTGTGTGTGTGTGATTAATTAAATAACTGCTCTCTTCAAAGGAGCCACTACGTAAAAGACAATTCTTTGTCTTCTGTCGTGTTGTCTTTTTATGTCGAAACCGAGAAAACATTGGATTGAAGCAGCGCGAGGCAGGAAAAAAGGTTTTTCTTACAAGGTCAGACGAGGAGCACAAATAGACCCAATAAACATGACTGTTTTCTTTACCCTGTCAACACAACATTGTGACGGGCTATAACCATTTAATCCTTGTGCAGGCGTAAGCAGCACTCAATCAATGGTGAGGGAAACAAAGCAATAAAGAGCAGCCTCGGGCGTAACCTTTAAAAGACAACTAAAATCAAATTAATTTACTGGTCAAAAGGTCAAAATGTACGAAACTATTAGTCCCGGCCCACCTGCTGTAAAATTACAGGCCTGGAAAGACTTGACAGCGATGTGATTGTGATATTTTTTTTTCCCTCTTCCATCTGCAGGGAGTGGACTTTTCCCATTTGAAAGATAATTTGGTGGCGATAGCACATCAAACCAAGCAATCTCTCAGGTTGATAGTTAGGAAATTGAACAGATGAGGAAGCCTAACCCTCATGCATTTTGCATTTGGCCCCTGTTCAACTATTGTGGCCTCGGAGAAAGGCGAAGCGGGTCGAGGAGGAGGGAGGAGGAGGGTGGTGGAGGAGGAGGAGGAGGAGGTGGGGGGATAATTTTGGAATGCTCGAGGTGTTGCGAGAGCCCGAGCGCTCTGTCAGATGTAAAACACGGCATGACCCTTCGCTAATGTGAGAGGTTCAACCTTTATGGAGCGCCACACATATGGATCTTGTTGTTTCGAACCGCAAACCACCATTTAGCTGTTGATTCTAAAGCAGATTTTCTCAGCTGTGAATTTACAATGTGGCATATTCATCATACACATGAAACATTGAACATAATTACACAATCACTTCAAAGGCATACAATCTTTCATTCATCAAAGTGATTACAGTGTGTTTGCCATATGGACTCAGTGTTTTCATGTACCTACCTCTGTTTTCGACTGCAAGAGAGAGAGAGAGAGCGTTCTAGGCTAAGCAAGGAGGATTAATTGCAGTGAACAGCACTGAGAAATGATTTCATTTTCTCCGTCTCAAGATGATCACCAACTCCCCCAATGCTTGAGGCTGCATTTGACAAATTCACTCACAGCTGAGCTTCCTGACACAGCATTAGACTTTGAACTGGGCAAGAGCTGATGAGTTCACAATGGGTTGGTGATAACCTTAAGACAGAAAAATGAGATCTCCTCTCATGTTGAAGTTCCTTGCAAACTGTCATGTAATCAGCGAAATCGAGACTCCCAGTACTCACCCCATAGACCAGTTCACCCACCATCCCGTTCCACGTCTTGGTCTCAGGGTCTCGGGCTCCGTACTTTCCATCCATTACTATAGACAGTTTGTACTTAATTCCAACATGTTTGGCAATCTCAGATGCTAAATCGACGCAGTAGCCTTCATATCTGTCATTCCCCTCCAGATGCATATAATTTTTCTTGTACATCACATAAGGAGCTTCCTGTTGATTCAAACACACGCTGGTTTATTCACTCCCATGCCCTTGCACAGATTCAGTTATACAGAAATATGCATACATGCACTCACACGTGTCCGTGCACGCACTCGCATACACACACACACACACACACGCCTGCACACACAAGAGTCATAATAAGAATATTATAAGCTGCTATGACCACATCCATGCAGTCGTGCATACACAAATGATGCCCTGCGAATGCACAAATATGCACTGATAACAGCAGTGTGATCGTGTGGTCGCACTGCTTTCATCAAGCTGTGGCAGCCAGCAGACACCAAGCCCAATGGAGCCAACCCATTTAGAGCCCAAGGCTGCAACTCTAGCATTATCAAAGAGGGTTAGTGGGGAGGGTAGAACACAATTTTCTTCGTTTTAGTAGGAGAAAGTAAAACATAAAAACAAAGTTTTCCATTTCTGTTGGAGAACACAGAAGGCCGGAATGTGTTTTAATAGGGCTCGGATTGGTAAGGCGAGGTGTGGGTCAGCTCAAGAGGTGGGTGGGGATGGGAATGGGGATGGGTTTCATAAGTAAATGCCAGTGACAGGAGAGGGATCAGAGAGTGCCCATACTATCTCAACATATTCAAGCACATTGCACCAATGCGCAGTTAAAGGCTGTTTCATTCCAAAGTAAAAAAATTAAAATTTAAAGTAAAAAATAAAAAATAAAACAAATGATAAAGAAAAGAAATGTAAAATAAATAAATAAATAAAAAAAAAGAATGAGCTGTCATTTGCTATCTGGGAAAAATGCAAACCCCAAAAAAATATACTCCATGAAATAAAATAATTGTATCAGGAGAGCGGGAGCGTGCTAGTGTTCCTCTCCTTTTCAAAACGCTGGCGCAGCTCGTCTTTTCTCTTACTGAGCACATCATCATTATCAAACAATAGGACTGCTCAGGAGAGCCGGCATTGTCATTACAGCCACACACAATTAGAGTGCAAGTAGGAGAGCAATGGTTTGTTTGTTCTGTGCTGAACGTATCCCCTCACCTCGGATCCATTGAGTATTTCCCTCTAGTTAACACGTGTTTACCTCCTGACTGTATTTCTCATCAAGCGATGTTAAATGTTTCCTCTTGCTATTGAGTGATGCTGCTTTATGGCTGGGAATACAAATGAAAAATCTCACCGTGCATAAGTTCCAAAGATGCTTATCGCTTTCCAAACATTTTTTTCTTTATCATTTTAAAATGTTTGTTTGCACAGAATGAAGTACTGCATCAGGTAATTACGCTGCCATTATACAGTCAGTAAAAGCATTTGCAATGGAAGTCGTCCAATAAGCCTGAAGAACTCAGTCGAGTGAATACAGTTAAAAGAAAAAAAGAAATCTAAGATATGCTGTTTGTTTGTCATGCTTGGGTCTGGGAAGACGCCTAGAAAAAGATCCTCTTCTGAAGCTCGGACAACAACTTATGTATACTTCAACACAGAACACGTGGAGGAGCAATACAAAATAGATTGGAGAGGCGATAACAAGGAAAAATGTCGCACCTTCATATCCCACTCCAATGCTGTTTATTTTGCTTTGCCCAGCTTTGGAAACCATTGCACGTATCATTCTCTAGTCATTCTGCGGCCAGTCTATCCCAAGTGTCATTGAACATTTACTTGATGAGGACAGACAGGTCTACTTACGTATGCGTTTGTATGCTTTTTGTAATTGATGGAGTCAACCATTATCATTTATACCATTATTGTGATGTCACTGCTACGACAGGCCACTGAAGTATGGAAAATCAAAATGCTTTGACACCCACACGGATACAGTTGAAACACTCCCCCGCTTCGGACCGACTGTTTCAACGTGTAGTGAGTGGATGGAAAGCAACACAAAAAAGATGTGGTTCTACCCGCCCAGGACAGAATGTATCACTCATTGGAATCAACACCATGACCTTGAGTGGCAGAATACGTGACACATTTAAAACTGCATGGAAAGTGTACCATAATAGTAGTGACCACAATCGTTCGGTTTTCCACTGAGGAGTCGTTGGAGACCTGCGGGTCCATAATATTTACAAAGCGCGAGTACTCGTTCCAGTACCCAATCTGCAAAGAGAAAATGGCGGTTAGTGATGCATCCCAACCCCTTCTGACAACATATAAGCAAGAATACAGAAAGGACAAGTATTAGTGGGAGCCGCAGTGATGCAGGGCTCATTAAAACAATACTGCGTTTCCCAGAGGCCTGCTGCTGTTTGCTCTGAAGTTCAAGAGTCTTAAAACACACCAGGCAAAAAGAAGAAGTCTCCCAGTAAAACTAAGTACAGAGTAGATGGTTCTACATTCAACATGCGGTTAAGCCTCGTGATTACAAATACACGCTCGGTTTTTTATGATCTGCGCCAGTTCAAATAGCCAAATGTGCAGGAACCGTATCGCTCCTGTTCAATATACGAGCATATGGCAGACAACTTCAATCCTTCGCGCCTTCAGCTTCCCAGGTTTTATGGTAAATAATTGATATTGGGGCCTGTGAACTGCATACACATTTAATAATTTAGCATAATATTCCAGTGGCTCCTCAGTTTCCTCCCCGCACAGTCCTGCCATTGCAGTTGCTCTGTATTCTGCTGTACAGATGCTCAAGTCAAACCAATGTCAAGTGTTTGTTTGCCCGTCTAAAATAATGGCTGCTCTGGCTCACGATGAAACGTGTTGCATATGTTGTTGCCAATAGTCTAACTGTTGCTGGCGAGGATTTTCCCCTTCACATCTGGTCCGCGTTTTTTTTTTTTTTTTTTTCCTCAGATCTTTCAGTGTTTGGGACAAACAGGTGTACGGCAGTGCACCGAGTTTAAGCACCAAGTGGAGGCGCTAGACGGCAGCAGACTTCTCAAACTGCGGTTGTAGTTGTGGATGTAGTTAGCACGCTCTTGCCAGACCGGGGAGAAAAAAGCTTTTAAATGTTCATTCCCCCGCTCTTGTCCGATATTGATATTTGAAGAGAGCTGCTCGGGGGACGAGGCTGCCGGGACCCGTGTCGTGGAGTGCTGCTCCGGAGGCAACGTCCTGATCTCACCCCAAGCAGCTGGGACAGATATCAGCCCATACATCACTGGTGACAGCCACAGCTAAGAACCTTCATCCTCTAACTGTCACTGGGGTGACTGGGGCTCCAGGTCCTGACAAAGTGCTGCCCGGCTTGTCTCATCTTCCCCCGCTCCCTCACACAAACTCTCTCTCTCTCTCTCTCCCGCTGACCTCCTTTCTCCCACTCACTCTCCATCCCTCTCCCTGCTCTCTCCTCCTCTGTTTGGATGTGCTGTGAGGGCTATGCATTGCTAATTGAAGTGTGGGCTTTAGAGGCCTGGGAGGCAGGCGGAATAATCACGCACCATATCAGAATGAGCCCACACTTATCCAGCTAACGAGAAATTCACAGCTGTCTCTTGGAACTCGGTGAGGTTATGAAATAAAACCAGAGGTCATCATATGGTACTGGTTATAATGTGAATGTACCGCTGGGAATTACCATTTTGAAGAGGAGCCAGAGGAATTCTTGGATCCCCTTTACAGTAATTGGTTATTTGAATGGTAATTACTGTCAGGAGAGGACCAAAAATCATATCTGCACTATCCCCCGGCAACGAAATAGTCTTTTATCATTCTTTTGATAGGACAGTTTCAGCTATCAGATTGCAGGCTGTGTGTGATTTGTGGGGCTTGTAATGCTTGGCATAGCTCATCAGGGCCGCTACCTAACAGAGGTAGAGAAGGGCAATCAACATTGCTCTGTGCTGTCCTTCCAGCCCCGCCGGTCCCACATGACTGCAAAAGCCCTCTGTGATTTAACAAATGGACGTTTGGCCCTAAAAAGGTTTAAGGCAAAAGTTCCGGGATTCCTAAACATGTGGCTGCCGTCCATTTAATTTTGCTCCTTAGCAGACATGATGAAGAAATCATTTAAAATGACTTGTTGGCAGAATTCCACTATTTTGACAAGCAGATTGTGACGCGTGCCAGCTGTCAACCACGTTTTGATAAAGACCGGGAGTTTTTTTTTTGATCAGGTCCGGATTTGACAGTTGATGGATGAGAGCTGAAAGGGGTCACCGTGCAGCCTTACCTTCCTCGGCCCACCTGTTTTCATCTCATAAACATCTATGGTGTAATTGGTCCTGCGGCCGTAGTTGTCAAACTGGATGTTCCCAGTCATACCCTGCACTTGGACCTGACGGACAGACAAGACACAGCAGAAAGTGTAATAGCCATCACTCTGCATATATAGCCGGTATTAAGGTGCTCGTGTCCACGGAGCTACTGGAGTGCAGGCAGTCTGTTAATCAAATGATGAACTGGATACGCTTTAATAAAAGATGTAGTTTTATGGTAATGAGGGCCTGGATTTGAGTGAGCTCTGTGCAGAGATATCTGGAGGCAGAGGGAGGAGAATGGCTCTGCGCTCTCTTCCCTTCTCTCTGTCACTTTCCATCTTTATCACACTCTCACTTGCTATCTCTGCCGCACTTCTTCCAGCCTTTTCTTTAGTATTTAACTCGCCACACTCTCTCTCTCTCTCTCTCTTCTTCCTTTCTGTCCCCCACCCCTTACCGTTTTGAGAGCTCTCTCGATGTCGATGCCTTGGCTCCAAGGTACGGCTGGATTGGCTAGACAGTCTCCAGCGCTGCCTCGGCGAGAGACATCCACACGTTGGCGCCGCAGGTACCTGAAGGCCTCTGCGATCACCAGGATGGCGTCATGGGTCAGAGCTGAAGTGTACTGAACAACAAAAACACAGCAGAACGCACAGTGAGGGAAAGAAAACACATTGTGAGAGGTGAAATATATGATAAGACTGCAGGTTTTGTGGGTAAGATGAGACCATCCCGGTGAAACTGTGGGCAGTTTACGAGGTATGTTATTTCAAATCCACACTACAAACTACAAGTTTTCCCTTCAAACTAATCCCCCTGGAGTCTAACACACTTCCCCAGTCTTCTCTGCCACTCCGCCATGCACTCCTGGAAGGATTCTTCAGGGATCCTCTGCAGCTCCGTCGTCACAGCCATCTTGATGTCGTCCACGTCTTCTAAACGGGTCCCCTTGATGACCCCCTTGAGCTTGGGGAAGAGGAAAAAATCACACGGAGCCAAGTGGGGTGAGTAGGGAGGTTGCTCCAGCACGGTGATGTTCTTCTCAGCCAGAAATCAGGGGATTGTGAGCAGGTACAACTTGTCCTGCCACAACTCTCGCCTCTTCTCGCACACTGAACGACGCAAACACCGCGGGATCTCTATGTAGACATGCTGGGATTACTTCGAAGGGGAAAACTTGCAGTTTGTAGTTTGGATTTGAAACATATCTTTTGTGACACCATTCTGGGAACCTTTCTGACACACCTCGTACGTGTTGCATCTCAGTGCTTTCGGTGTGGGCGGGGTGTGTGCCAACTCTGACGCCTTGCTGATGATCAAATTAGTTTGATTAGACAGACTGGATGAGGAAAAGTCAACACTTTCCCAAGAAAGGGCCAGAACCTCTTTCAAAACTTTAAGTGCAAAGTCGGGGAGAGAAAAAAAGACGAGAGAATTAACGTGTGATTTTATCTCCCACGCACTTCCCCTCCAACTTTCCGTGACCTTTCCACCCCTGAGGGTTGAGCCACTTGTTTGTTGACCACTGCACCATGACAAAATCTAATTAAATGCCATTCAAAATCCATTTCTTTCTTGATCATTGTTTAATTAGATGTAAATTGAAGCTGCAATATAACCTTGGCTTGCACTGCCTATCGATATATTGATCGCTCGGAGGGATGCAAAGCAAAGACGGAGGAGGCGAGGGGTGGGAGGAGGAGAGGGAGAATGACAAAAGCAAACTGGGGATGAGAGGAGGAGAAGAAGAGCACTTCAGAAGGGATGGGCGTTGTTCTCGGCACGCACAATGAAAGGCCTTGCAAGCACAGTACCTTCAGAGGAGTGTTTCGGGCTTCTGGGAATTCTCTTTCATCTAGTCGCTCCCAGCGCTGCATAAACTGCTGCACAATCGGGTTCTCAGGGTTGACTATCTGAAACCCTGAAATGTTGGCTCCCCCAGCGAAGACTTTGTCCAGGCTCACATTAGAAAATCCCTGACATGAGACAAAAAAAGGGGGAAAAAAGAAGGGGGGTATAGGAGGAGGAAGAGGAGACACATGTAACTTGGCTTTTCTTTGAGGTGTTTTAATATAACCTAGGGCAAAGCACCAGAAAAATATTAGCAGCAAGTCTGGCAGTGCGCAAGGTGCATTTTATTAAGAATCCTATGCTGTATCAGAAAAGCAGCATGTGTTTGCCATTACGCCGAAGCAAATGTTTCTCTTTGTGGTGTAACCTGAATTCATTTTCAGATAAACAAGCAGCCAGCAGATACTTTGGAGTTTGTGTCATATCATGTAACAACAAAATGTTTTACTTGAACCAGGTGCTTTCATTCAGAAATGCCACGTTTGAAAAAAAAATAAAAAATGTAATGCAAAAAAAAAACGTATACCTCCGTTCTAGCTGCCTTTAAATGTCCTTTTTCTACCCTAGAGCCATGACAGCTATTTCTCTTTATGGTCAAATTGCTGTTTTTTAAGTGCAGCATTGTGTCATGGTGTGCAAGGACATGTGTCTGACTGCTGCATAATCACATCTTCTAAAGTTGTGTTGGGGGGGAAACAGCAGCAGGAGATCAGCCAGTGAGTGAGAGCGGGGCCGGCCTTCGCTTTAAAACTCTCATGCTAATATCAAGGCTAAACGAATGTTTCCTTCCCTCGAGTGTGGGAAAAGATGGCTGCCCTCCAAAGAGAGTTTAAAAAAGGTTAAATGCTGTTTATTTTATTGCGTAGGACACTCATTTATACTCAAATATGTGTATGTTCATTTCAGTAAATATGCAACCTAGTATGACTGAGAGATTGTGATTTAGAAAGCAGAACAAGTCATGTATAGAGCTTTTTCTTTTTCCCTTCCAGATTTCATACAAAAGCCAAAACCCCACTGATTGTGCACACACATTTGTGCTCACGGCTGTTTCATCACATGCAACAACAACAAAAAAAAAAAAGCAGGTCCCACTTGCACCCAGGGGAGCAGCACGGTCATTACTCACCAGATTGGCCAGAATGTAGTGGTAACCACGGCTGTTCTTCCCCAGGGTCACAACCTAAGGGAGAAAAACATACAGTAAACCACCCATGAGATGAGAGCTAAGAGCTAAGTGGCAACAACGGTCTCTGTAAAATGCATCCATGTCCTGCGAGCGCGCGGGACGCCGCCGAATTTGAAACAAAGCGGAGTCCTCTTTATGGAATAACAAGAAGCCAGTTAGAGAAAGTGTTCATTAAGCTGGAATGGATAATGAGAGAGAAACAGGAACAACGTGGAACATCCTTGAATACTCTGCTCACTTTGAAGTCATTCAGGCATGTGAGTCCTCAGCAAGTGCTGGACAGAAGGCAGAAGTTGGGGGGGAAAAAAGAAAGGAAAATATTTCAAAGGAATTTACAGTGAGACAGTAAGATGTAGATCTCTCTCAGCTTTTGAAAAAAACATCACACCTTTGGAGCATAACAGCATGTTTCAACCCACGCAGCTTGTCTGAAAATAGTAAGTGGTGTTCGAAGCCATTCCATCACTGTGGCACTAACCATATGCTGCCTTTTTATTGTAGATTTTCTTCTTCCTTTTGTTCCGCGCCTGCAGATAAATCAGATAGCGAAACTCTAAATTGACCTGGCTTTCTGTGCATTACATGCTGGACAGGGTTTTCGACTGGGCCTCGTGAGGTCTGTTATTTATGAGTTTTGCAGTCTGTTGCGGATGGACTTCTGAGTGGCTGCCATACAGAAACCTGTCAAGCATGTCTCGGTTTTCATCTGCCTTCTACAAACACAGCAACACAAGTTTACAGCAAAATCAGCATGTTTGCACATGTTCTGGCTCTGGCTCTGTCACAAAAACAAACTGTCAGTTTATCATCTGTTTGTGTGTGTGTGCGTGTTAGGCCGGGCACGCTGGATATTTGTTACTGCGGATCGTTTACGACGTTCCCGCTGAGTAGGAGAGAGTGATGAAAAGCACTCGTGTATCTTCACATCTCAGGGTGCAGAAAATCTTTGAAGAGCATTTTCAGTTTCACCCATTTTAACTACAATTACAGGGTTTTGTTAGCTATGCTAATTTCATCTGACCTGGGTGCTCGGTGTGCAAGTAGCTCCAAAACAATGAAACAATCATCTTCGCTTGGATTGACTCAAAAATTAAATAAACCACTTATGGAAGTCTGAAGGTTGTCCATGAAGGGGGTAGTAGAAGTTGTTGGTATTTTTTTCCACAGAGAGGGTTGCACAAACACTCAAAGCCTTTCACTCATGCTCTCCAGCTCAGCTGGGCGGGTCAGCGTTCTCTGACAGCTCCCCCATCATTAAGGCTTTAAACCTCCAACGCTGCAGGACGTCAGACAGAAGGGAACAAACCAAGAAAGTGAAATAGAAACAAAGAGGAAATGAGCTGATTATAATGCAGACATAGCAGGAGTTGGCTTTTAGAATCCATCAATGCGGACTCTAATGAGTAAGTGACAGAAAGCGTTGTGAAAAGAAATCTCTGCAACGCTTTTTACTGCAGTGATATCAGAACTAGACAGATCACAGTACAGGCTCACAAGTAGCCTTTTCTTTTTTCCTTCCCTTCCTATTTGGACTTTAAGCACTGCTGCATTTTCTTAAACAAACCCCTGCAGCTCTGCGCTCCTTCACCGCGTGCTAACCTTGACTCTGGCTCAAAGCCTCCTCACACCTGCCCTGGAGCCGGGCAGAGAAAAGACCTCACCACCTGCCTGCAGCCTGCAGCTCACAGCCGGCCTGGCAACGGCTACAAGCGGCAACCTTGGGATGAAGCGCGGCGAGACACCGATGACACAGAGATGTACGGTACCTCCGGCCAGAACACGCAAACCTTTCACCCCCAAACTCTTTAATTAGGCAGACGGCAAGACCTGGCTCCGGTTGAGACGGACGGATTTCATTGTTGCTCGTCGTGACGCGCCGCTGAATGCCCTCTCTCCATTAAACCCGCAGATGGTGATGACTATATTTAAATGGTATTCATAAGAAATCATTCTTTGCTAAATTTCCTTTTAAAATCCAATTTACGTGAGTAATAACACAGTATTATCAAAAACAATATTTGGCCAGATTAGAGAGGGGAAAATAAACGTTGGTTTATTTGTGTAGATGAATAAACAGCTGTTATGGAAAAGCTTTGTATTTGTTTGCTTTCTCTTTTCAAAGTGACAAAAAAAAAAATCAATGGCACATCTCGTCTACAAGCTTGGAGTCGGGATGTGACACAACTACCAACACCTCGGGCTCTTTATTATGTGGTGTCTTGTTTGTGTAAAAGATGTCTGATCCCCAAAGGTGACTAAATACACTTTAAACAACAACAACAAAGAATACTGATTATTTATTTACTTTTTTTAAATTCTTTTTTAGATTTTGGCAGCTGGGTACCAAAAAAGTACTGCAATTTATTATACAGTAACTATCTCATAGGAATATAATAATTTTACATAATAAAAATACAATTATTTTACATTCCTAAAATATATTTTTTTAGCCTTTTGACAACATTTAATGTTTAATGAAGGTGTAAAAACAATGACATTAGCTGTAATAATAATATATATTAAGCATGGATAATTACACAATAATATATATGTTAAGTATAGAACATTACACAAGATATTTACCAAACAAATCTGTTTTTTTGTGTTAAAAATCACTAATTGTATCTGGTTTTAGAAACATATTTAACCTAAATACACATTTTTTAAGCAAAAAGGGTAATATTGGTTAAATTCTGATAAATTTGCAAATGTGTTTCAACAGTCTTTTTATATTTTAAAAATAAATAAAAAATAATTAATAAAAAAATAAATAAATAAATAAATAAAATAATAATAAATAATAATTTAAATGCTATCATTATTTACAGATTCTGGTTTTTAATGTTATTTTGTTATGTATTCTGTCTATTTTTATAATTTTCTATATATTTTTGTGCACTACAAAAATATATAGAAAAGTAAAAAATATTTTTAAAAATCTATAAAATATATACATACATTTTTACAGTGTAAGTTAAATGTTGTGCAGGTCATGCATTTAATTAATTCATTTCAATATAAATATAGTGAATCAAGCAAACATACAGTGTAGTCGACTGCCTAAGAGGTAAGATTAGAGTCTAAACATGAGTCGCTCAGTTCAGTATTAAACTGGAGAAAAATGTTCTTTTCCAGGTTAAAGAAAATCCACCTACCAACAGTCTGTGGACAGTTTTCACAAATGACTTACAGTGTATTAATTAGTGAGCTTCGGAGGTGTTGGTCGATGTTTTGTTGCTTCACTTTAGTCAGAGGTAGCTCTTCATCCTGCCTACGCCCGTTTGTTAATCCACGCTAAACATTTTCACATTTCACTCCTAAAAATAAACTGAATAAAGCGCGGTTGACTAAAACACCATTTTCAGCTTCAAATTGACTGAAATCATGCATGATTTTTGCATCATTGGACCTCCTGGATACCTTGAATTTCCCCAAGGGGGATGAATAAAGTATGTATCCAGCTGTCTAGCGTCGTCCTCACCCTCCCGTTCTGCACCGAGCCATTTCTGTTGCTGCTGATCGTCTGTCGAGCACATCCATACAAACACGAGCCCACTAACCAATTATTCTGTTTCGCGGTGACAGTGAGGAGAAGAAATGTGTTTACCCCTTCAATAGTGCAGTTCCTGTTTTTCATACAGTGTACCTCTTGCGCATCGATCCACCAGCTGGCTCCACCACCTTTTGTTCTGCAGCCTGAAGAAGAGGCTGCACTTTGCAGACTGGGGTTTTTCTTGAAAGCCTGATGGGGACAGACAACTAGGACGACCTTGGCTTCACCCTCGTCCAGCCTCGGCCCCAGCAAGACAGAGAGCCCTAAATGTAAAACTACAGCTACACATTTTTAATAAACGTTTTTCCTCCAAGTTTGACCTTTCTACTGCACAGTTTTGCCACAACACAGTAAGAGGCAGACTGGAAATGATAGGTTCCCCAGAGTTTGTAAATATCATACCGTTCACCGAGGCATATAAAAGACGAACAAATAATGATGCAATTATTTTTAGCCTCCATCTGAACTATGAAAACTCAGCCACCGAAACGCAGCGACTCCAAACAAAACTGGTAAACTTGTCTTTGTTTGGATTACGGCTTCATCTAATTATTATCTTCATATTGTGTTCGCTGGTTGAATTTCTTTGAAAATGAAATGACAGATTTTTCTTTTAAGTTAGAACAAAAACAATAAATCAAAGCCCGTGATTGGCTTCTCTTGTCCACCCAATACTTCACACAGCAAAGATATTATATTTACAATGAAACAAGACAGGAATAATAATAATAATAAAAAAAGCATCTGATTTAAGAAGCTGAAAACAATCACTTTGGTTTTTGACTGTTTTTCTTTGATAAATTACAAAAAACAATCTCAAATTTGCTTTGAATTTTCTGTCAGTCAACTCTTCCATTAGCCAGCTATCGATTGCGACGCTAACCGGTGCAGCTAAAAACCCGTGTTTATCGAGAAAAAACGTCCAGAAAGCAGCCCAGTCGTACTTTCTCCATAAGTGTCAATGCTTCTACCAAAGGGGACAACAAACTGTTTTATTTGTTGCGCGCCACAAAAGAATATGGCATCGATTAAACAGAACTACTTTACTTTTCAATGCGCTAAACTAATTAGAACTTTCGTCGATTATAATGAAAACCACCATGAATATAAAAGTACGCTCAGCGCCGTTTGTGCTGACAAATAATTCAATCCATATTAAGACTGAAGCAATCTTCAGTTTTCCTTTAAAAGCCATAATCAGGAGCAGGTAGACATGACATGAAACAGCAGCCGATGAACACTTATTGATCTATTTGCTCACTTTTAGTTATACAATAGCCGCGTTACTGTGCCGAGTGTATTGTCTAAATCGAATATCGCTGCCGGTAAGCTGCTTACAATTAAAGCTAAGCTGGTGTGTTTGGCAGTTTTCAGTCTCCCTCTTGGCTGCTTAGTTGGCCAACATTTTAATATTAGAGATTGAAATGCTGCTGTTTATTTG